CACTTTTGTAGGAAACTTGTCTCTCTTCTTTATTCCACCCTTTTTATCGGCTTCCTGACAATTAACTACCCATACCCGGTCATTCTGAGCGTTGTACATCTCGTCTAGATCGGACATTTTCTCATCAAAAAAAGTCAATTTCTTCTATCATTGTTTTAAAATTATTTTCACTCAAATTCCAAAATGAATTCTTTTCGTTTTTAAATAGCGGGGATAGCTGGTTTGGTATATAAATCGTCTCTCCTACTGAGAAGACAAAATACTCAGAAAAATTCGTGTGCCTCAAATAATTCAGTATTCTAAAAATCATTTTCCTTGCCAATAAAACATACAAAAAATTGTTATATTTAAGCAAAAACGAAATTAGAAATCATGAATGGAGATAATCTGTAAAATAGATTCCAATTAAAGTGGGAAGAATTTATGTTTCGCTACTCTTTCCTTCAGAAAAACTGCTGTGGAATTTCTACGGGTTTTTTTCCGCCGTGCAAGACTTTGATTGAAAATATTTCCTGGTATCCTATTGAACGGCAGATGCGATTCTAACTCTGCTTTGTATACGAAGTATGAGCGATATAATGTTTGTTGTATATATAATCAAATGTAGTTTATACGACTTTTAATTATCCATCGAGTTTCTATCTTCTTCAAATGTTCTTTCAAACTATCAAAAATTGATTGATATATAAGAAAATCAGATAATTCATTTCCTTTTCAAAAGCACAATCAAAAGTGGCTGTTCATTGTGCAAAATATTGATGTGTATCTGTTACGGATGTTAGTTTTAATGAATGTTTTGGACTTAAATACTGATCATTCTTACAGTTCATAATGTCATACACAATTGACTAAATTTTAATTGATTTAGTGTCATTTACAAACAAGTCCCTCTCAAACATATTCCAATACACCGTATTTCTAGTCAAATCATCGAACTTCGTATCGTTCAATGTTAGAAATCCAATAAAATTTCTTAAGAACAACGGTACCAATGACCAATAGTCCGCTAAAGCATTCGTAGCTAACTTTTCACTATCGAATTCCTTTAACAGTTCTAAACCCTTGTGAATTTGATTCCGTAAAATCTTAACAGCATCAAATATTGTTTTAATGTTCTTATTTTCCTTATTTACCAACGTCGATGAAAATGGCTGAATAGGCGCACAACGGTCTTTTGATTTGGACAATTTGATTTGGACAACAAAAGATTCAAATAGAATTGAAGATCATTTAATGAAACATAGGTTCCTCCCATATTCGACTGTTTCACAAAACACAATTTACTTTCAAAATGATTTTCCAAACGACGACGAAGAAAATCCGTGCGAGATGATGACATCCGAGGAAGTTTCGTTGACTCTCTTCAACTAGTGTTGCATACTTTTCACTGATTATCAACATTGGTATCATTTCACCTGTTTGCAATTTGTTCATTAACCATTCACGTAATTCTTTAAATGCAGAGTCTAAGAAAAATCTAGACGTTTCTGACGTGTCTGCGAGATCATAAGATTAAAATTTCTCTTAGATAGCATAATTGAATTCGGATTTGCCATATACCGCCATTTTCCTGGTGGTTTCTCTCTAGAAAATCGAGCAGCTAGTTGTTGTGACCGTGCCTTTTTAGATCTTGCCAACTCTCTTCCGTAAAATCTATGAATTAATTTGTAGAACTAATTTGTAAAGCAGACTTAAAAAGCATGAGGATACTTTTCGCAGACACGGGATACCAGAATAATCGAATACCGTCATCTGTCAATCTACTTGCACATCATTCTATTTCAGTTTCACTGATACTGTGATTAATCGGTCGTGCATACGTTGTCAAACTCGCTTTCGCTGTAATTTCAGACTTTTCTCACAGGTCTCTACTCTACGCGAGCTAGGATTGAATCTCCTTGCTGTTTATAAAAAGAAAATCTTAGCCATTTCGGGATGGCATCGATATATTGCTCATCAATATGACGCATTGGTTTTCCGTGGAAACATACTTGATTATGGATAATCTTTTGTATTGATCACGAGTCCGTTTGATGTCATACAGTCTTCCATAATCTTTGTGTCAATTAGGACACGAGGAAGTTATCACGACATATCGTCTGAACAAATTCCAAGTGTTAGATTGGAGCATCTCACGCTCACTATGCAAAAACGTTTGAAGAATTAGCGGATAAGATTTCGCGGAGTGATAATTTCTTTATTGACAAGACACCTCATTATGATTAAATAAAAAACTGAAAATTTCATTACTTGATGAAGCCTTCTTTGTTAGTTCACAAAATGTTTTTGCATAGTCAGCGTGAGATGTTCGAATCTCACACTGTCAGAGTTTGTTTAAAGAATAACTCGTGATAACTTTCTCTTGTTCTAATTGGTACAGAGTTCTGAGAGACTGTATGAAGACAAATGGATTCGTGATCAACGCCAAAAGGTATCCACAATCAAGTATGTTACCAGGAAAACTCGATGTGACGCTTTCGACCTTTCCTCATTAATCGCATTCATGAGCCATGCAAGTGCGGCTCATTGTAACTTCGACAATTGTATATGGAATGTTTTATGTCTCGTTCTTGACTCGCAATGTGCGCTACCATAAAAGTTTAGACAGCGTTCATTATGCCTTGTGTATTAAAATCAACTGTAATTGATGCACCTGTTGAGCGTGTATGGCCTGTTGTACGCGGTTTTAAAAACATCAAAAGCTGGTGTCCATTTGTAATTGAATCAAAAAACTGATAATGAAGATAATGATTGGTATATTGGTGATATACTATATAACATTTTAAGAAATGATGAAACAAAATATTTATATCATGAAAAGCTTTTAGCATTATCAGATAATGATTACTATCTTACATATGCTTTATTAGGGGACGATAATCCATTGGGTATTCTTAATTATATAAGCACATTAAATTATTTATTAGCTAACGAACTTCTTCATCATGGAAGATCTGCTAATCTATTAAAAATCTTTAACCGATTTGGTTATGCTTGTTCTTATAAATCAATTACTAAATTACATGATCTAGTCTCCAAAAAAGAAGGAAACGGATATGAGCTGCCATCAACAGTTTTGCCAAATATTTTTGCAATTAAATGCATCGATAATGAACCGAGATACGGTGCATGGAACAGGCAGTTTTCATATTCTGAACCAAATAATAATACAAAATCCCCTAAATCTTATTACAATTTATAACAATAACACCGAACTACACGATAGTTTCGATGAATCGATTATCATGGAAAGTGATATTCCGTTAACGGCGCAAGATTCTATACCAGATGGTAAGGTTTCAGCAATTAATCTGAGAAAAAGGCTTTCTTTTTGCTCATAGAAGTTTTGGGAAACACTAGGAGTAAAAATCTGTATTAGACAGATCCTGATATGCAACGGCCGGGGCGCAGCTCACACGATACGCGTTTCTCGATGCATTGGTGCATTTCGAACGAAAAAAAAATATATAACAAATAGATTTGCCTTCTGCACTTTTGTTCGATTTTTCGGATGACAAAAGAGTTTTGGTTAGGAGCGAAAAGATTATGGTGATCACATTAGTTGGTCGCCGTTAATAATTGTATAGATGGATATTGGAGTAGTAGTCATATTTCGAGGACATTTTCTAACTAAATTGAATATACGTTTCTATGTTTTATAGTATCCATGTCCAGTGTTACAGACCAGAATATATCAGCATCTTCTCCATCTAATACATTATCTACTTTTACTACCACAACTACAATGCTACCGCAAACTGATGTTCCTCGTTCGTCTAATTCTACTGATCCATCATTAAATTGAAATATGTTATCGGAAGATCATTGGTTTGAGAATGAGTTATTTGGTTATAGTCTCTGTCAACTAGTTTCGGTTATTGATGGTAAATGTGATATTCCAGTGCTCACTGGATTCTTTGGATCGTACATTCGTTGGTCACCACGGTCTATTCGTCATGTATCTTTTTTACCTCCGATTGACGAAGATCCAAGTAGCCTCGAATGTGCAAAAATCAGTCTGCAGATGACAGAGTCCTCATTACTTGATACAAAAATTCAATCAAAAACAGTGATTGTTGCTGATGAAAAGATTTATACAAGTTGTTTGAAAGTGAGTTTTTGTGGCTCCACTATATTTCTTTCGGCAGCCATACTTAGCAAAAGCTTAGGAGAAGAGGTACTGGCTGATTTGGATAACCAACTTAATATCTTTCCATCTTTATTCACGTTCAGTAAAATGCCATCTAATTTCGCTACAATTTTAAATGCTGAATCTAATTATCGAAATTGCAACTCC